AGAAATAGATATGTGGGAGCCACATACCTAACAGCCAAAAGTTAGGTATGTGGGAGCCACACCCACAAACCACCTCTGACTTAGCTATATAGGCTCATTTATTGGCCTTATCTCAGAGACCCAGAGATAAATCTCAGAAGAGACCAAAATCTACAGTTAAGCTCGGACCCTCGCATGCATAGCTGAACAGACTGGGGTAGATCAGAGGGGGCAGGTTGGCCTGTGCCTGCCCAAGCAGAGCCCCCAACAGCCACTTGCTTCCACAATCCAAAATCGCTGCCATATCCCCAGCCTGACTCCACTGTCTCAAGATGGACCTCAGCAATAATCTGCTGAAAATTCGGGTATGTGGATTTTGTGACTGAAATCTCCAGGTTTTCACGGAGTTGATTTGGGCTATCTCCTCCCACTTCCCAATACACGTAGAAGCACTGCAATCACCCCCACAAACCAACTCCAGCGCTACCCTTTAAACTCTATTACTGGCCTTGCTTCAGGGACCCATGAATAAATATCTAAAGACATCAAAAGCCAGAGTTGTTGCTCTTACATGCTGTAGAAGCAGTGCATTCCGGCAGGCACCACAGGGCGCCCCCTAGTGTGCAAAGCTAGGAGCTCATGGAGAACTCCCTGCTAGGAAGCACAATTCGGACTGAGTTGTCTTTCTGCGCTATGGTCACACGGGGACGCCGCTGCTCTGCTTGCTCCTACTTTGCAGAGGCGGGGCAGTGGTCTGACTGAGGCTTAGATGCTGACCTGGAGGAGGACATCCATGGGATGAAGTCAGAGCTGTCCTGAAGTCAGGATCTGGAGTCGGCGGATAGCTGTGGAAGGGAAACCTCTGGGGCTTTGTACTGTGTCTGAGGTTTCATCATGGCCCCAAACCTCTTTCTCTGGTCTGTGATGCCAAACCTAGAAACTGCAAGGTAATTTTCCTTCCACATCCTGTTCCTTTTCTTAGGAAAATTATTCATCTTTTATCGCTACTACATTTATACAGCTAATAAGCCCAGCAAAATTCCAGCCCTGCTCTCAGACATGCTCTTTCCCAGTCAGTTCATTCTCTCACCTCTGAGCGCTGCCCTACTTTCTCCTCTGTCTGCCAACCAGTCCCTCCCCATCGCCATGCTCAGATGATGAGTTTATCGGATATTCTATTCAGGTTTTTGGGTTTTGGATCTCACCTGGATGTAGTCAGGGATTAGTCCCGATGGGGTTCAGCTTACCATGTGGGCTGTCAGGGATAGAAACCTGGTCAGTGGTGAGCAAGGCAATCACCTTATTCACTTTCCAACCTGTCTTGTCCCTATTTCATTTTCACCCCGTATAAACAGAGTGTGTGGAGAGAACAGCTCTGTCTTCTCCCCACTCTTTTATCAGTATCTTGATGCTCTTTCCCCCCAGGGAGGGGCATGACGGCAATGGTCCTGCCCTGTCCAAGGTCCCCTCAACTTTGGACAGGATTGGACCCTTAAAGAGATACTAAATAAAACAAAACAAACGCTTCCAAGTTATCCCACTGTCAGCCCCATGTCCTCTCCCACCTGCTGTCTCATGTCTCTGATACTGGGTGACTGAATGGACCCCAGGCTCACCCATAGGAGCCTGGATTTCCACTGACCACATCCACCTATGATCCTCATTAACACACCAGATTTGAGTCCATATCTCACCTACCAAAATGATATTTTATTTTTATCAAATGAATATTGAACATGTGCTTTCAGAATCCTAATATATCATAAGGTTTTAGGTTCCAATATTCATGTATCCCCCTTTCCTGAAACAATGAATTTTACCTTCGTAATTACTGCTCATAATTAACTGACACAATTTTAAAAATATCAACCCTACAAACTTGGATAAAGCTTATTTTTCCCCTATATGTCGCATAAAATAACAGATTAAAATCAGGAGAAAATATAAAAATCCAGCTAGCTTCTGATGAGTCAGAGAAGACACTTTGAACACATACATGTAAAGGATTCACTCTTCCACAACATCATTTAGGTTCTGAATTAGGTTTGTCCTTTTTCCTTCCTATCTTGGGGTGGGGACTTCCAAACAGTGCTCAGGAGGCCTCTGAGCAAGCTCCCGGTTCTCCAGTGCCACACCCATGGTGCTCTGAGGCCCATGTGTGCCACACAGAACCCAGCTGCTTGTACCTGTTCACTCCTGAAGAACTTTTTTTGAGGGGAGATTTTATGGAAGCACAATGATTTACAGAGTTGTTTGTTAGACAGTTGTTTCAGGAAGTCCATGTTCCAAAGACAATTCCACCACCAGTGTGACCTTCCCTTCACCAAAGTCCCCAGTTTTCCACCCAGCCCCTCAGCCTGCACCGTAAGCAGGCACAAAGAAATTTAATTCAACACATGCTTGTTACAACACATGCTAGAACATAAAATTCTTCCAGCATTAAATAATTCCTTTCTGGTGGCAGATCTTGCTGGGATGAATGAGGTGGCACTAGAGTTCTAACTCTCTAAGGTCTCACAGGTGGACTGGCTCCCTGAGATCGCACAGGTGGTCTGACTCCCTGAGGTCACACACATGCGCTGGCTCTGAGGTTTCACATGTCAGCTGTGGTGTCAGCAAACTTGGCTGCGCTGCTCATTATTTTGGTCACACACACTGGCATTTCCTCCCCAACCACAGACCTGACACCCTAGTGAACACAAAATAGTTTACTCTATATTGCTTGTTACAAGAAGAAAGAATCGGGAATAGATCAATAGAAGTCAATCTATGGTCACTGTTCTATCTCACAATGGCGTCACAAAAGCTCAGTGTCTGAGTGTGTACTGGATGTTATATGACTTTGAGCCTTCTGTGTTACTAATTTGGCTCACTGATATTGGTGGACTTCTATGAAGCAATTTGTTTAATGTTTTTACTGAATCACTGTGAGATAGACCCTTACAAAGCTGTTCATGACTGGATTTCATTCATACAGTATTCCCATACCCATCCCTGCACCAGTGTCCATTTCAAGCACCAGTGTCCCCAGGTTCTCTCCCACCATCCATCATCCCCCACTCTCCACCCACTTCCTGCCTCTATGGCAGGTACTTTACTTCTCTCTCTCTCTCTCTCTCTCTCTCTCTCTCTCTCTCTCTTTCTCTCTCTCTCTCTCTCTCACACACACACACACACACACACACACAGTCCTTTTGGACATTGTGGTTTGCAATATCCTACACAACTTTTTATCAGATCTGCTGTTTTCCTACTGGGCTGGGGTCAGATGGCTCAAACGACTATGAAATGCGGTGTCGCTCCAGAAGGTGGAAGCATCTGGTGGCTTGGCAGCTTGATGAGGTTCAGTTGTGGAGCTGGGCCATTTCTATGCCTGAAACTTTGGGTGTGGGTGGGAGCTGTTGGCCCCTGGGCAGGGGAGGGTGACTGGGGTGTTCGGGGAATCTGCCAAACCCCAATCTGAAGAGGTCCCAGAGTTCAGTCCTACCTGGTCTGACAGGAAAGATTTAGCAGCTTGGTGTTATTCTCAAGATTGTTCAAAGAACTGGGCCATTTCTATGCTGAAAAAAAAAAAAAAACCAACAACTGTTGGGGACTACATAAAGAAAGGAGATGGACAAGAGGTTCTTGTGGGACCCCTTAGTTCTTTATGGGAGCTTTATGAGACCTTTACGCAACCTATCAACCCAGAATATTTGCACTAGAGGTGGAATATTGTCCTGGCTTGGGCGGGGGGGGGGTTGGGGTGTAGGGGAGGGTTCTGTATCTACTCTGTCTTTACTTCCAGTCATGAAGAATTTCCTCTAGAGAAAGATTTACAATGATGTTTTCCCCATAAACTAGAGCCCTTGGATGTGTAAAAGTCTATCTTGCATAGTATATATAAATATTATATTATACACAATTCTTGGTATTTGAACAAAGAATGTTGTTCTGATGATTGTGGATTCTAAGTAATAAATATGAATCATGGAGAAGAGTCAGGGCTCAATGCACAGGCTGGGAGTCCCTTACCACATGCTTTTTGCTCCCATTTCTGCCTCTTTCTTAGTCCTCCTGGCATCCATGGATCAGGCCTGCTCATATGGGGCTGGTCCCTGGCAAAAAATCTAATATGTTTTTTATTCAAAGCACTTTCTAGGACTGGTGAGATAGTATAACATGTAAGGTGCTTGCGAGAAATAGATTCTATTGCCTGCATCCCATATGTTCCCCTGAGCACTGCCAGGAGTAATTCCTGAGTACAGAGACAGTGAGCACCACTGGGTGTGACCTCTTGCCCCTCCAAATTACTTCCTGTTAGCATTAATCTGTTGTTGATATTCCAGTTGAAGTCATTTTCAGGCTTGAACTCTACAGGAGAGATATTACAGAAGGTAAGGTGCTTGCCTTGGCCAACAGGGGTTTGATTCCGGGACCACATATGGTCCCATGAACCTGCCAAGAGTGATTCCTAAGCACAGAGCCAGGAGTTACAACTGAACCCTGCCTGGTGTGGCCAAAAGCCAAACAAACAAACAAAAACCCAAATTCATCACCACCAACAATAAGAGGTTTTAACTCAGATTCCTCACGTGGCAAACACTGATAGGCATACCTGAATGCACAGAAGCAACCCTGGAGTCCACAGGAACTTGTAAGACTGTAGCAAGACTCTGAAATAAAAACCATGGAAAATCGCTGAGTCAGTCTCAGCCCTGAATACGGGGAGACAGTGTAACAAAGATCAGGTGAGAGAGCAGGTGAGAGGGTGAAGTCCCAGGTACCAGGTGTGGCTCCCAGTGTCTCCAGGGTGATGTTAGGAGCAGGAGATCAGGCCTGGGGATCTCAGGTCTCCCCAGTTTCATGTCTCCCTCCGCATCCTGTCAGCGCTTTCTGCCCGGATACTCGTGACGCGTCCACAATCCTCACTCCCATTGAGCGTCGCTGTCTAGATCAGCTAATCAGCGTCCGCGACGCACCCGGTTATAAACTGAAGGGAGTCAGATTCCTTCAGTCTGAGGGAGTCAGATTCCTTCAGTATGTGGGAGCCTCGACCCCTCCTGCTGATGCTCTCCGGGGTCCTGGCCCTGACCCAGACAAGGGCGGGTGAGTGCGGGGTCGGGAGGGGAGTTTGTTACGCGGAGAAGGGTAGGAACTTCCAGTCATTGATGTGCAGGACCCCCGAGAATGAATTTCTCCGTTCTCTGCCGGGATGTCCCCCCAAATATTCCTCCTTGTCCCCCTAATCTTCATCTCCACCCGCGCCCCTAAGTCTCGCCCTTCTCGGTCCCTCCCCCCTTTCCCGTCTCCCGAGCCCCCACCCCCTTTCCCTCACCCTGGCTCCGGGGCGCGCTGGGCGGCGGGTCGGGCGGGGTCTTACCCCTTCCCCTCCCCCAGGCTCCCACTCCCTGCGGTATTTCCAAACCGCCTTGTCCCGGCCCGGCGGCGGGGAGCCCCGCTACATCGTCGTCGGCTACGTGGACGACACGCAGTTCGTGCGCTTGGACAGCGACTGGGTGAGTCCGAGGATGGAGTCGCGGGCGCCGTGGGTGGACCACGAGGGACCCGAGTACTGGGAGCGGGAGACACAGAGAGCCAAGGACAAGGCACAGAATTACCGAGAGGGCCTGAGCAACCTGCGCGGCTACTACGACCAGAGTGAGGCGGGTGAGCGCCGCCGGGCAGGGACTAGAAAACACAGGAACAGGCCGGGTCGCCCCGAGACGGGTCCGAGCGTCCCCGAGGCTGAGGGACCCGCCCCGGACCTTCACCTGGAGGCGCCGTGGGGACTGGGCCCTGGTTTCGTTTTCGGGTTAATCAGTGCCGGGCCGGCCAGACTCTCACACCCTCCAGAGGATGTCCGGCTGCGATGTGGGGTCCGACGGGCGCCTCCTGCGCGGGTACAGTCAAGACGCCTACAATGGCGCCGACTACCTGGCCCTGAACGAGGACCTGCGCTCCTGGACAGCAGTGGCCCGCACACAGGCTTGGCGAACCCAGCGCAAGTGGGAGCAGGCGGGTCAGGCTGAGCACGAGAGGAACTGCCTGGAGAACATCTGCGTGCAGTGGCTCCTCAGATACCTGGACCACGGGAAGGACACGCTGCTGTGCGCAGGTACCGGGTCCCTGAGGGTGAGGACCCCTGACCTCTCCTCGGCAGGGCGACTCCCCAAAAGGGGGGACATAATGGGGTTCAGTGTCAGAACAGCGCCCCTTCTTCAGTCAGGAGAGGGAAGACCCGCCTGGTTTCCATGTTCTGTACCACAGAGACCTACCCGCCCCTCAAGTCCACCCGGTGTCCAAAGGACCAGGAAGGAACTGGGTGTGGGATGGCGGGGTGAGGGGGTGAGACCTTCTCTGAAATAACAAATGTTGGTTCCCTGGGACCCGGCTGCCATCTTTGAACTCCCTCAAGTCTTAGCTGTGACGCCTGCTCCTCTCAGACACTCACCCTCCTCCCAGGGCAGGACCAGAGTCAGTGTGTCCTGAGAGACCCTAACCTCCTTCCCAAACCCTGTCCTCGAACTTTCCAAGGAATTAGGATTTTATCCAGTTTCTCCAGCCAAGTTTGTGTCTGGATTTTTGCCTCCTATTCCAAACCAATTATCCTGTTCGACCTCATTATGGAAGTGACTCAAAGTGTGAATTTTCTCATTTTTCCTCCTCAGAAGCCCCCAGAAGACACATAACCCACCACCCCTTCTCTGACCGGGAGGTCACCCTGAGGTGCTGGGCCCTGGGCTTCTACCCTGCCGAGATCACCCTGACCTGGCAGCGTGATGGGGAGGACCTGACCCAGGACACAGAGCTGGTGGAGACCAGGCCTTCCGGGGATGGAACCTTCCAGAAGTGGGCAGCTGTGGTGGTGCCTTCTGGAGAGGAGCAGAGATACACGTGCCATGTGCAGCACCAGGGGCTGCCGGAGCCTGTCAACCTGAGATGGGGTAAGGAGGGGGACTGGGCACAGAGCCTGTTCTCAGGGGCATCAGGGTTGGTTGGCCCCTCTGGGGAACTGCTGAGGGTCAGGCTGAGGCTGGGATCTGACCTCTCCTTCCTTCCTTCCCAGAGCCCCCTTCTCAGTCCAACATCCTCACTGTGGGCATCATTGTTGACCTGGTTCTCCTCGGGGTTGTGGTCACTGGAGCTGTAGTGGCAGCTATGTTCTGCAGGAAGAAATGCACAGGTAAGATAGGGGTGGGGTGGTGAGAATCTGTCAAACCTGGCAAGTGTTGAGTCTTGTCCCACTTTGGGGGTCCCCCCATATCAGTTCTCCTGCTGCATTAGTGGGAGTACCACCCGCCTGTGCTGTTGCTCACACTCCCCCTGTGTGTGCCACTCTCAGGTTTGCTCATGAAAGACACTTTCACCTCCATAAGCTGGGGATGAAACTGTTCGCAAGATCCCAGGCCACAGGGAATGTCCCTGCTGAGCACAGACCACTGGAGGAGGATAGTCAGTTCTAGGGTCCGGGCCTAGAGCGCTGCTCTGTGGCCTAGGACCCAGTGCTCTCCCTGACCTTCCTTGTATGTTTCCTTCCCACAGGTGAGAAAGGAGGAAAGTACACTCAGGCTGCAAGTAAGTGTGGGCACAGCTGGGGTCCTGGAATCCTGGGGACAGAGATGGGAGCCCCTGGAGAGCTCCCGCACCCCTAGTTCCTCCTCTAGTCCTAACCCCTGTGGCTCTGACCTTGTCCTGTTTGTTCCTCCCCAGACAGCGACAGTTCCCAGGGCTCTGATGAGTCTCTCACGAATCCTAGAGGTGAGACTCTGGAGGATGCAGTGGGCCAGATTGGGCAGAGGGGACAGGACTGGGTTTGGGGGTTCATCGAGTGGGAGGCTGGGAGCTTGCTCAGGATGTCACCACTTCTGTGACTCTCCTGGGTCTTTAATTCTTTTCTCTTACAGTGTGAGACAGCTGCCCCGCTGGGTTTCCTCACATCCCAATGTTGTGATTCAAGAACTGCTTATTCCCTTTCTGCCTTAGGACCTGAACGTGACTTTTGTCCTGTCACACACTGTGAGGGGGGAGACTGGCCCATCCCTGCCCACTGGGCCCTCCCCACACTGACCTGAGTTCTCTTCCTGATGCTCTGGGCTTTACCAGCAGAGACAGGACTCAGCTGTCTCTATCTGTGTTAGCTTCTTGTTTTCCTGAATAATGTTTCTTCCTTACTGAAATCAGCATCTGATATGCATTTTTCTATTTCCTGTTTTGTGGGATTGAGGATTATAAAGGAAATCCCTTATACATAGTACTGGTTGAGCTCCACAAGAAGAAAACATCCAACCCCATAAAAAAATTGGGCGACGAAATAAACAGAAACTTTCTCAAAGAAGAAATCCAAATGGCTAAAAGACACATGAGAAAATGCTCTACATCATTAATCATCAGTGAGATGCAGATAAAAACAACAAAACAACAATAAGATATTATTTCACACCACAGAGACTGGCCCACATCCAAAGACCAAAAGCAACCGGTGTTGGCGTGGATGTGGCGAGAAAGAAACTCTCTTTCACTGCTGGTGGGAATGCCGACTGGTTTAGCCCTTTTGGAAAACAGTATGGATCATCCTCAAAAAATTGGAAATTGAGCTCCCATTTGACCCAGCAATACCACTCCTGGGAATATAGCCCAGAGAGGTAAAAAAGTATAGTCGAAGTGACATCTGCACTTGTTTGTTCATTGCAGCACTGTTTACAATAGCTAGAATCTGGAAAAAAAACCTGAGTGCCCGAAAACAGATGACTGGTTAAAGAAACTTTGGTACATCTACACAATGGAGTACTGTGCAGCTGTTAGAAAAGATGAAGTCATGAAATTCATATACAAGTGGTACTACATGGAAAGTATCATGCTTAGTGAAATGAGTCAGAAAGAGAGGGCAGACAGAAAGATTGCATTCATCTGGGGAACATAAAGTAACAAAATAGGAGATTAACATCCAAGAATAGCCAAGATAAGTACCAGGAGGATTACTCCATGGCTTAGAGGCCCGCCTCACATGCTAGGGGAAAAGGCAACTCAGACGGAGAAGGGAGCACTGAATAAAGGGTGTTGGGTGGTTCCTCTCAGGATGGGAGATGCGTGATGAGAGTAGACTAGACTGAACATGATTGTCACTCAATGTCTCTTTTGCAAACCACAGCACTCAAAAGGAGAGAGATAACAAGGGGGAATTCCCTGCCACAGAGGTAGGGCGGGATGGGGGGGATGGGGGGTAGGAGGGATGCTGGAATCACTGGTGATGGAGAATGGGCACTGGTGGAGGGATGGGTATTCAATCATTGTATAACTGAAACCCAAGCACAAAAATTTGTAAGTCTACAACTGTACCTCATGGTGTTTCACTAATAAAAATTTAAGGAAATAAAAAGAAACAAACAAAAGGAAATCCTTGAAATTCAAGATGGAACAATTAAAATCCTGAGACCTTCCTTCCATGTGTTTTCTGTTTTGATTTGAGTCTGTCCCAGATGTGACAGGAGAGGCTGTGAGGGGATGGGGGGAGAGACCTGTGCCCAGTCTATGTTTGAGCCACTGTGGGCTCTGATGTGGTCACTCATCTGCCTGGGTCATTTCTCCTGCTCCTTGTCCTGGTACCTCAGTAGCTTCTCGTCCCACAGGCCCTGCTCACAGGGACTCAGGACACACCCGGACTCATCCTGTCCCAGGACCGTGGGCAGAGAGAACTTCTGTGCTGGTCAGTCTAGGCTCAGGCCTGGTTCTGCTCCTCAGCCCCATCTGGGGGTGTCTTTGTTGCTTCTGTGCAGGAGGCTTCCTGTTCTCTTGTCCACACATTCATAGCTCATCCTCTCAGTGTGTGTCCCCATCTCTGAGCCTCAGGAGGCATTTGCCTCTCACTGTCCCCTCGAGACCCAGCAGTGCTCCTGCACACAGGAGTTTCTGGTATCGAGAGATGAGTGTTCAAACTTGCCATATTGGAATTCAGCCCTCCCACCCACCAGCCCTGAAGCTCTAGGAATCTCAGTGCTGTCTGTTATCTGAGTCCCTGGATTTATAAATTACTCTCAGTTACCTTCAAATTTAGGGGTTAGAAAATGGGATCTGTGAACCCAAGATCCTCTTCTCCTAAGAGAGAAAGTGCTGTGTGCTGTGGGGTGCCAGTGTGGGAGGGAGGTAAAGTGAAGGTGGGAAGCACTTGTGAGAAAAGTGGAGGTGACATCGATGTCACTTGGAGTAGACATTGTAGCTGCCAGGGCACAGCATGTCGGTTGAGGTTACATGAATAAGACAGTGTCTCTACCATCGTCTACACTGTTCATGTATCTACCCACTGTGCAGATATGGGGATGATATTTTGGGATCTATCAAAAAACAAAGAATTAAAATCAGGCAAAACTTTACCACAATGCCCAAAAGTAGAGAGAGAGAGTATGGGTGAAATTGTCTGCCATGGAAGCAGGCGGAGGGTGGGAAGGGGGGGGGGACATTGGTGGTATAAATGGGCACTGGTGGAGGGATGGGTGTTAGATCATTTAATGACTGAAATTAAAACATGAAAGCTTGGCATGTTTGTTTTGTTTTTTTATAAAGTAGTTCACAATATTTCATTACATTTAATATTAAAACACCAATCCCACCACCATTACACCTTTCCACTACCATATTTCTGAATTCCAATCCCTGCCCCAAAGCAAAACCAAAAGAATATATTTTGCATTGTTCGTTATGAAAAACCGCTGAAAATGCTACAAAAAAGTATCCTTAGAGGAAAGAGTGCAGAGATCGAAACATGAAAGCTTTGGAACTGTATCTCATGATAATTCAATAAAAAAGAAAAAATAAGAAAATCAGGCAAAATTTACCAGCCTTTGGGATTTAGTAGGAAGGGATAGACTTATGCCCAAAATTAAATAACCAAGGCAAGTGTCCTGGTTTTAAATTGGTAATCTGCAGGGAACGGGACCCACTTATAAGTGTGTGGGGATGGGGACAGTGACTGTTTTACTTGCCCCGTCAGTGTGGCTCCACAGGAAGGTGACCTTTGAGGAAATATGGAAGGATGTGAGGGACTGTCTGTGTGGGTGTCTGGTGCCAGGCAGGAAATGCCAGTTTGAATGCACCAGGGCAGGCAGGAGTCTGTATCAGGGAAGAGTAGACAGCAATGTGGCTGGAGCAGTCACTAAGATGAGGTCCTGGTGCCGTCAGGTCACGAGGCTGCTATAACTCTGGAAGATTTTTCTTTTATCTAAGAGGGGCAGGTACAGGCAGTTTTGAATGAAAGTTGAGACTGCTGTGATCTGGGTCATCAGTCTGGCTTTTGTGCAGATGGACAGGTGAGGGGACAAAGAGCAGCAGGGAACTGGGTAACTGGTGCAGATTCCAGGGAAGAGATGTTGGGGGCTTTGGGGTATGAACTGGCGAAACAATGGAAGTGACTAGATTCTGCAGGCATTTGAAGCTGGACTTTACAGCATTTCCCAATGTATGGAATCTGGGTTTGATCCTGGCACCCTGTATGACCCCCCAAGCAATGCCAGGACTGATTTCTGAGTGCAGAGCCAGGAGTAAATTCTACGCACCACCCCAAAACAGAAATATAGTAAGGGAATAATAACTGTCAAAATAGAACTGAAGATTTTGTCTATAGAACAGAACTTACTTGGAGGGGGAGGGGTCTTTGGGACATGGCAGAGGGAAGCGGGCTCTCTGGTGGTGGGTGTGGGATGGGAGTGATGTTATGCATGAACAGTATGAGTAATGATATTGTAAACCCATGCACCTAAATTAAAATCCCAAAAAAGGGGGTGTTTTAAAAATGTTTAAAATATTCTTTAAAAACATAATGTAAGGCCTTCTCCCCGGCTCCAATGAGACCCTGAGTTGCAGCCCACGAATGGCTCCTCCCACTACTTATTGAGCTCCTTAATGGCCATGATTCCAGAGGCACACAAACCAATCTCAGAACCCAGAGGCTTTTGGAAGAAATCCACCCAGACTTAATATTTGAAATAGCAGAATTCCAAAATTGCACAGCAGCGATAGCAGCCATGCGATATCATACACTCTTCATAATCAGCAATCGAAAACAAATTATTTTATGATGCTTTTTCGGCAGGTCTGATTGTTTGGGAAAATTCCAAATAATAATGGTGGGTTTCTTGTCATAATATTGAATGTGATCAAAGTGGAGAGAGAGTAAAGTGGAAATCATCTGCTACACAGTCAGGGGAAAGGGTAGGATAGGGGTATACTGGGGTTCTTGGTGTGGAAAATGTGCACTGGTGAAAGGATGGATGTTTGATCATGGTATGACTGACCAAAAGCTTTATAACTGTTCTCACGGTGAATTCAATAAAAATAAAGAAATAAAAGGATCTGATATTAATTCTAACCTACTTTAAAAACAAATTTTAAATTTGTCTTCAAATACAAGTATTTATATGCACTAGTTTTGGTTAAATTTTCATATAATTATTCGATCCCTGAAATGTATATGTAGATACTATTTTATGGAACTTATTACAGACTAATAAAAATAGTTTTAGGAGTGATTAAAAAACATAATGTAAGGGCCTGAGAGATAGTACAGGGGGTAGGGTAATATTCTGGCACACAACTGACCCAGGTTTGATCCCTGGTATCTCATATGGTTCCCTGAGCCCACCAAGGAGTTATGAGTATGAGTGCAGAGCCAGAGTAACCCTTGAGCACTGCCAGGTATAACCCAAAACAACAACAAATACCACCCCACAAGATATGAGGAACAGCTGTGTAACTGCTGTTCTATACTAAGGGACAGGGACCAGGGAGTCTCCTAATTGTGCTCTGGGGCTCAGGGGCCCCTCCAGAGCTAACAGGTCAGTCTAGCAGATGGCTCAATTCTAGGTCCAACAACTCAGTGTTTCTGGGGCCCTGAGGTGCCTCAGATCACTGGAATCATCTTGGGGGCTTCCAAGGCT